CGGTAAGGTTTTTGAATCCAAGACTTTGGTTGAGAACCCTAATCGTTCTCCGCTCTAGGCGTGGGGAACCTGACCGTATCCTGCCAACGCAATACACCATGAACTTTCCTTCTAACAATAACTTGATGCTCTGGCCATCGTAGAGGATAATAATCGGCGCCCTATCTGCTGCGTCAAGCAGGGTGGATAAGGGTTTGGATGCTACTGCTTAGGTCTTCCCGCACCTTTCCGCGCAAGTTTCGAACAGAATGGATCGATCGACCGGATCGAAGGCATTTTAAATCAAGGAACACAGCTATCTTCGGTCTGCAGTATGCGTGGCGCTGCTCTAGCACCTGCCGCAAATTGAATATATGGTCTATACAGCCACGTCCTGGGCAGAAACCTGTCTGATCGTACCTAATCCGAGATTCCCGTTCCACGGTGAGGCGAAGAACGACAATCGAGGCCAGAAAATTTGTCACAACTGGCGTTAGGTTAATACACCCGTGGTTAGAACAGTCTGTGCGACTGCCCTTATTGTATATTGCCACTATACTCGATTCGCTCCAGTCAGCCGGGACGCTCTCTACGTTCCAGATACGTTCGAATAGGGACGTCAGTACTTTGCAGAGGACCTCACTTCCTCCATCGTTAAACAGTGCATGTGGGAAGGAATCCGGGCCAATGGCACGAGAACGATTGAGGCTTGTGATCGCGTTTCGGACCTCGGCCTCCGACGGAGGCTCTAAACTACCCGACTCATGGCTCATCCTGCATCACCTGAGTAGGAAGAGGTCCGGGAGTAGGGGGTCAGCTGAACTGATCTTGAAAGCGTTCCTCCCAACGAGTCATACGGCGCTCCTTATTGTGTATCAGCGCACCTGCGTTGTCTCTGATTGTCTCACTGACGCCTGGTTTCCTGAGACCAGTGGTGCGGATCAGCTGGAAGAGCTTCCGGTAAGTGCCTATTGCTCCTGCTTCCTCCATTTCTTGAACCCAACTGGTCTACCAGGTCTCTTTGTCAGCACGTAAACTCCGCTTTAGTTCGCGCCTAATAGTCCGTCTGGTCACATTGTGTTCAGAGCCAGTGGGGAGGTTTCTTCTTCATTCCAACAGGTTCACTGACCTCTCGGATATCCAGTGACTGGTGCGGTGACGATTGATAGTACCACAAGCAAATGCTCCTGCCTCGTGCATGGCGGCCGAGATCCGATTCCACTGAAGCTCAGTGTCATTAGGACAAGACAGCGAAAGTTCGGTACGCAGTGCGCCTTGAGAGGCTTGCCTGACCGAGGGCTGAGACAATTTCTCAGTTGCCAATTTGAGGAGACGCTTGGTGCGCCTCGCGGTAAACCTCCTGAAGAAACGACAGCGTCCCAAGGCATAATCAGAATCGACGCAGGTATTCCAGTACGAGCGGCAATTCAGGATGGAACCACGCCACTTGTAACTTATGGCTATGTGGTCAATTTGGGTCCATCGCTGGCCAGCTACAGGTGGACGTCAAGTAGCACTTCGGCGCCCATTGTGTGCAAAACCAATGCTACTAAGAAACAACTGGTGCTCCGCACACAGTTGTAGCAGACGCTCACGGTTGTAAGTCCGTTCAGAGTTAAGCCCGTAATTACCACCCAGCTGAGCTTCTGAAGTGCTCAGACGCCCTACTTGTACGTTCATATCCTCTGCAAGTACTATAATATCTGGACTGTTAGTACTGCGTGGTAGCGCGTTTAGTTCGTGATAGAATGTATCCTTGACAGCATTAGAACTGCAGTCGGTGGGAGCATAAGCGGAAATCACAAACATACCGGGTTTTGTACGACTTCGTGAATCGACCTTAGCTGAAATCCTAAAACGGGCTGCACATAAACGGCTGTTCACCAGAATTGAATCAACCAACAGTGGTTCAGCCATAGAGCTTAGCATGATATCTACACCAGCTTGACCCGTGAGTGCTGTATCTGAGTCTCCGGATGCGTGCAACCAATAACGAAGGAATAAGCCGGGTGCAGTTAATTCAGTAACCCCGTTGGGGTCATTGATCTTAGTTTCGGACACATAACACACATCAGTAGCCAGTGTGCCCAAGGTGCGTGCGGGTGCAGCCTGTTGACCTATTTGTCTTACAGTGCGAACGTTGAGTGTCTCTATGGAAACGGGACATTGTGGCCTTATGGGGGACTTTTGCTGATAGGTCTCCGATAGGTATTGTGGGATGGTGACAGCAGGTGGTTCTACTCCAGTGGAACTTCGGTTGCTGTCACTTAAGTTGGGATTTATAGAAGGGAGGTTAGTATTGGGGGTCGGGATGGGAGTAAGAGAAACAGGTGGAACAGAAAGAAGGGAGGCGCCAATAGTAGCATATTTCCGCTTATCCGCCCTGCTGTATGCAGCAGATAAGGTGATCCTTGATAATGTGCGCGACGGCCGATGCAGGATGAAGTTTATGTTGGAAGAAAAAGTCATGGTTGTTAGGTTGATTAGGAGCCGACGTTATTGGCGTTTTTGTTGTTTATTTCTTTGTCGCTCCTACTCCCACCTAGCCCCACCTCCAACGTCGATCTTATTACGTAGGCACAAGGTAACTCTTCTTTTGTGGTGCGATAGCCGGCGGTTAGGCCTCCGTAGCTATATCCATCCGTTACTGGTGACTCAACTGGCGTGCCTCTGTTGCATGTTTTACTTTTTTTCCTTTTTTTACGACACAACAGCTATGGTGTTTTCCACCTCTAGCTAGCCTGTATGACGATGCTGATGATGATAGAGTAAATACTGTGTTAAGTAACTGACTGTCAGCCTTAGGTTATTTGGGAAACACGACGCTCAGTCTGGCCAAGCTGCACGCTTCGACCTGCTTTTTGCGACTTCACGGTGACTCACTGTTGTGGTTTCCTATTATCCTACGCCTAACTTACTACCATTGGGTATTGTGAGCCTGCAGATTTCCCGGATCAGAAAACCAAGGCCTTTGGCAAAACCTTACTTGAGCTCCCGATACAACAGTAGGCATAGTCAAAAATGCAGTCAAATATCTTGGTCTTTAGAGGATGATCTAACTGAAAGCCACTGGATTCCAGCAACCAATAGATGCCGGAAGGTGCGCCTTAGCTGGCAAATAATTTCGCTCACTGACAAACGTCAAGGTAGATCATTCCCATTGATGAAGGCGAATCATTGGCTGGCCCCATTGGCTAGTCAGAGTTTCAGGCGGCGTCGGATCAAACTTATTTAGACAGCCAATGGGAGACCAGCTCCGAAAACTTCTGTGATCGGACTCCTTTAACACCTTCCTCTCAAAAATCAACACGCGATTTTCTTCTTTGGTCCAGCTACATTCTGATGACGGATATCCTTATCCGATCGGTTCTACGTCGTGATTCTATCTTCGACTCTTGTACGGCTGCATGCGTGTTTTGAGCACTTGATTTTAGTTTCGGTCGGAAAGGTCGTGTGTACAAGACCCCAGTTAGGGCCTTCTACTCTATGGAAGTGAGACCTGTCTCCTTCCATCTGAGATGCCTTCAGATCATTGATTGCCGCTGTCTGTGGAGCATTATTGTTGTCAGATGGCATTGGTGTGATCGCAACCTTGATGTGTGTGAGAGTGCACGTATACCCACCACTTACGGAGTAGAGCCTTGTCCTGGTTGCTGGATGTAGGGTGGCGTAAGAATTGAGGTGGATAAATGTTGACTTGACAGCGGGAAAGGAAGTCACTGACGACCAAACGGGGTACTGTTGATCCGTCTTGCTTTTCATGATGGAGTCCATGTGATCTACCTTGTGCTTGTCTCGAGACAATACAAGACGGCTCGCAGTCGGTATCAGTGGTTTGTCTGCTGTCATTTCTCAGTCAGACTGCTTGTTTAAAGTGTGTTGTCGGCTGATTCTGACTCGACGCTGTGAAATCCGCAAGAAAGCTGTCCCGCCGATGCCGCCTTATCATTGCACGATAGCCAGTTTTTTTGACCGTGTTGTTTACAAGGTGTAGGTGACCTAGGTTTGCTGACTAAGAGCGGTCAGTGTTACCGTATGAAGCCGGTGCGTTGCCATTGCACATTGAAAATGTCAGGTCGTTTCAAACCTCTAGCCTCCACGAAGCGCTGCTCAACCTGATGGGAGTACATAAATAGCAGTAATGTAATCCTGCAGCTAAAGTCAGGCAAGAGACCTTCTAGTGTCTAGACTCGATCCGTTCACTTTTTTCGCCGCATTTATCAGCGTGTTTTTGTCGGTGTCCGCTGTGATACACTACCACACTGCACTAGCACTTTTCTGTCATGCAACTACAAGTGTTTTTGGATACTGTCAAGACATTCAAACCTAAGCAACTGCGAGCATTGCGTACCAGAATGTAAGGATTTTAAGCCGGACCTCTGATCCACTACATTACGAATCTTTGGCATCGTTTGTCGTTTACTGATGCTGTGTTCAGGTGAAATTACAAGGTGCCATCAATGCTTAGAAGCATAGTCCGGCATGTACGGACGTATGGCTTACGGCTGTGTCTCATTTGATGCCTTATACACCATTGCTTCTTTCCTTCTAACCCCCGTGTGTTTTATTTGTATTATTTTGGGCACTTGATTCGACGTTACATTTTGATCCACATGGATCATATACCCTATGGTGTATCATTTAGTCAGTATGAAGGATGCAGAAACGTCCATTTTTGCCCATCTTCCTTACTGTCTGTAGAGCTCTGCCAACCTTTTTAGATGCATCTGGTACTGCGCCACACGACTTTTTCATGGATCTTCCAAACCTCACGTTTTGCTGCACCCATCCTAGTTGTCCAGTGGTCATGCATTACATACCAGACATTGGGTGTTTTAGAGTATCTTATGTTTGCATGACTTTTTGCGTTGTAGTATGCATGTCTTCACCGGTGTCCACCGTAACTGCGTTTTCGTCATCCCTCTGTGTATTGCCCACCATTCACCTAGTTTCTGGGGCACATCTGCCCGTTAAGAAAATATGGAACATAGGCTATCATTCAATCGTCTTTTTATTTTCAGTTGCTGGGTTCGAGATTCCAGACCGCTTTGTGGTCGGCTACGCCTTCGATTACAATGACAACTTCCGAGATATGCATGTGAGTTTTCGACATAGTTATTCTTCCTTTTATGCTGGCCTGACGTTTAGCGCTTCTTTGTCTGGTGATCTGACTGTATGAGCAGAATGGAACTATGTTTTATGCCTCACTGTGTCAGGAATCCTTATAATTTGATTATGACGTGGGTACGTGCCTTTGTTCCTTCCCTTCTGCTTCCATTCCATTTAAGTTAGCTTTTCTCCGGCAGCTTAGAGTCCACGCACAGTTTACATTGTGATATTTCGGATGGTTACTGTTAAAATCTAGGATACGTTTGGTATGCGTTTTCATTCTGTAAGCTGAGTCGTGTAGTTTGCTGTTCGCCGTCATTGTCCATAGCGTAAGTCGTAACTCCATGGAGCCAGCACTGCTGTCGGCATCGTTCGTAACTTGCATGATACTGGAGGATAGGTCGCGCCATATTGCATATACACTTCCTGACCGTATGCCGCCTTCCACTGGCCTAATGGCGCAGGCTACTGGCTAGTGGCACAAGTCACTCGTAGCCGTGGGCTTAGTTCCTGATAGAACCAGCGGTTGCTCATCATTGACGAATTTCGATAGGTCGGAACATCCGTCTGGTGCTTTCCCGGACTGATAGTAGACTATTTGACTTTAAGGCTGCTGCGATGAATCCTCCATTAAGTTCCCACTTGCATTTCAGTCCAACATTGAGTTGACTGTTGTCTACTTGGCCGCCGCAACGAAACTGGACCTTAACGTCGTTCGACGGTTTGCATATCTCCTTCACCCATTGAGCTATACTGATGAGGCCCCCAGGCCCCTTGAAAACTACTCCTACCAGGTCGGTCAGTAGTTAGAAGTCAGACAAACTCAGTATCCTTTTACATTTCTGTAAAACAAAATCATTGCCACCTCCCCGCTGCCTTGCGGATAGGCTTTTGAGCCAAAGGCTTCGGTTGAAGACCCTGATCGTCCTCCTCTCTGACAGTATCTCAGCCCATGTACGACCATGACAATTTCCCCAAACTCCAACTGCCTCTTGCATCAGTCGTCGCGCAGATTATCAAGGTTCGCCTTATCTGCTGCGTACAGCAAGGTGAATAAGCAAAAACATGCTACTGCTGGCGCCTCCCTTTTTTCTTTTCCACCTGTTTCTCTTACTCCCATCTCGACCTCCATTGCCAACTTTCCTCCTATAATCCCCAGCTTAATTGACAGCGACCGAAGTGCCACTGGAGTAGAACCACTTGCAGTCACCTTCCCGCAACCCACCGGACGTCTACCAGCAACAGTCCCTTATGAGGCCATGCTGTCCCGTTTCTGTTGACGTCATTCAGCGTTCGCACTCGCACGCACATTAGACACGCTGGGTACTGATGTGTGTTGTGTTCGAAACTAAGGTCAATGAACTTAATGGGGTTGTTGAATTAACTGCACCCGGCTTCTCTTCTCTCTATTGGTTGCACGCCTCTGGGGACGCTGATGCAGCACTCACCGGTCAAGCTGAGGTAGGGATCATTCTCAGCTCCAATGCTGAGCCATCGTTGGTTGATTACATTCCCGTAAACAGCCGTTTGTGCGTAGCCTGTTTGGTGGATTCACGAATTAATACAAAACGCTATTTCATTAATTGTCGACCGGTGGCCGAGTGGTTTGCGCGTTTGGTTTGCAATCATAAGGTCACCGATTCGAATCCGCGTAGAGGAATACTCAGCCCGCGCGCGACTGTTGGTGATCGTGCGGCAGCGAAGTGCCGTTACTGCGTACAGCTGACACATTACCTTATTATTTATTATTATTTACTCAATTGAGTTTATTCACAGCCAGCTTCCAAATCCGATAGTCGTCCACATGCCGGAAAAAGCACTAGACTGCAGTCTCAGCCTGTTAAGCATTGTCAGTAGTGTACATCCATCGGGTCCATCAGGATTCGAACCCATGACCGCCAGCAGCTTTAACCGCAAGTGAGCAGCTTATGCCACTGGGCTACGGAGGACAGCTTCGGACCGTCATGATTTACAAGCTAACTGCCATGTAAGTTACGAACGTTGCAGAGGAGAGGGTTGGCCCCGAAAGACACGACGTCCACCAACAGTGGCTATGTACGACATAGCATTTAGAAACTGTTAGAGCCATCATGTGGACGACTATCTGATTTGGAAGCTGGCTGCAAAGAACCTCAATTAATTATATCAAAACTCATGACTACATCAATATATCTCCGCTCTGTTATTAGACGTCGTGTCTTTCGGGGCCAACCCTGTCCTCTGCAACGTTCGTAACTTGCATGGCAGTGGAGGATAAGAAGCGCTGTATCGCAGTTAGCTTGTAAATCAGGACGGTCCGAAGCGGTCCCCCGTGGCCCAGTGACATAAGCTGCTTACTTGCAATTAAAGCCGCTGGTGGTCACTCGTTCCAATCCTGATGGATCCGATGGATCCGCACTACTGACGATGCCCCACAGGCCGAAACTGCAGTATAGTGCTTTTCCAGGCATGTGGACGACTATGTAATTTGAGAGCTGGCTGCGAAAATCCTCAATTAATTTTATCAAATATCCCCTACTATTGACTACATCAAAGCTCTGTTTGTTTGTGGTTTCCGCTTATGTTTTCACCGACTGTAATTCAAAAGTTGCCTAGGACACATTCTATCACGAACTGAACGCTCTACTACGCGGTACTAACAGTCCAGATATTATAGTACTTGCAGAGGATATGAACGTACAAGTAGGGAGTCTGAGCACTTCAGAAGCTCAGCTGGGTGGTAATTACGGGCTTAACTCTGAACGGACTTACAACCGTGAGCGTCTGCTACAACTGTGTGCGGAGCACCAGTTGTTTCTTAGTAGCACTGGTTTTACACACAATGGGCGCCGAAGTGCTACTTAACGTCCACCTGTAGCTGGCCAGCGATGGACCCAAATTGACCACATAGCCATAAGTTACAAGTGGCGTGGTTCCATCCTGAATTGCCGCTCGTACTGGAATACCTGCGTCGATTCTGATTATGCCTTGGGACGCTGTCGTTTCTTCAGGAGGTTTACCGGGAGGCGCACCAAGCGTCTCCTCAAATTGACAACTGAGAAATTGTCTCAACCCTCGGTCAGGCAAGCCTCTCAAGGCGCACTGCGTACCGAACTTTCGCTGTCTTGTCCTAATGACACTGAGCTTCAGTGGAATCGGATCTCGGCCGCCATGCACGAGGCAGGAGCATTTGCTTGTGGTACTATCAATCGTCACCGCACCAGTCACTGGATATCCGAGAGGTCGGTGAACCTGTTGGAATGAAGAAGAAACCTCCCCACTGGCTCTGAACACAATGTGACCAGACGGACTATTAGGCGCGAACTAAAGCGGAGTTTACGTGCTGACAAAGAGACCTGGTAGACCAGTTGGGTTCAAGAAATGGAGGAAGCAGGAGCAATAGGCACTTACCGGAAGCTCTTCCAGCTGATCCGCACCACTGGTCTCAGGAAACCAGGCGTCAGTGAGACAATCAGAGACAACGCAGGTGCGCTGATACACAATAAGGAGCGCCGTATGACTCGTTGGGAGGAACGCTTTCAAGATCAGTTCAGCTGACCCCCTGCTCCCGGACCTCTTCCTACTCAGGTGATGCAGGATGAGCCATGAGTCGGGTAGTTTAGAGCCTCCGTCGGAGGCCGAGGCCCGGAACGCGGTCGAAGCTGTCGCTCGTTTTCGTGCTGCTGGCCAGGATTCGTTCGCATCGGCACTATTTGCAGATGGTGGTGCGGTCCTCTGCAAAGCACTGACCTCCCTATTCGGACAGTTCTGGATGGAAGGGATCATCCCAGCTAACTGGGGTCAGTCGATTATAGTGGCAATGTGCGAGAAGGGCAATCGCACCGACTTTGCTCATCGCAGGGTGGTTAGCCTAGTGTCAGTTGTGACAAATTTTCTGGCCTCGATTATCGTTCTTCGCCTCACCGTGGAACGGGAATCTCGGATTAGGGAAGCGCAGTCAGGTTTCCGCCCAGGGCGTGGCTGTATAGACCATATATGTAGACCATATATATTCGCTAGGTGCTAGACTAGCGCCACGCATACCGCAGACCAGCAATAGGTGAATTCCTCGGTTTCAAGAGTGCGTTCCATTCAGTCGATCGATTCATTCTGCTCGAAATACTTGCGCGGATAGGTTTTCCTATGAAATATGTGAGCATTTTGCGTTCTGTATACTCGACCACTACAGACGGCGTCAGGGTCTATGGTGACTTGTCGCATAGCTTTCCTACCACAAGTGGCGTTTGTCAAGATTTCCGATTTCCCCGTTTTTGTTCAATTTCTTTTTGGACTTCATCATGGTGGTTCCCCTGCGGAATTTCTGGATGTGGGTGTTAAGATCCTCCCCGGTGCAAGGCTCGTTGATCTTGACTATGCGGATGATATCGTCTTGCTTTTCGCTCATGTTGCGGTGGCACAATCAACCCTGTATAGAGTGGTCTCATTGTTTGGTACGCGCTTTGCACCTTCGAAGTCCACTTACCTTGTCATCCGCATCAGTAATCATGGGAGCATAGAAACTGAAGTCTGTTCGTGTATTGCAAGGGCCAGAGCTGCCTTCTTGAACATGGGGCATCTTTGCGACAGGAAGGGATTTCTCTCCGTTCGTAAGGCCGTGTTTACAAGGCCATCTTGAGAGCCGTCCTACTTTATGGGACTGAGACGACCCCTTCGGTCGGAGGATCTGGGGCGCCTCCAGCTGTGCTCATTGGTGGTGTCGGATGGCACTAGCGTGTCCGCAACCATCGTATACGTAGGCGAGAGCTAGGCAATGATGTCCATGTTTGTTCCTTGAAACTGCAGATAGCACTGAATAAGTTGCCGTTGGCTTGGGCACGTGCTACGTATGCCTGACCACCGCTTGCTTAGGAGGCCCTTGTTTAGTCTGCCGGGTGTAGGGTGACGCAAGACTCGAGGTGGATAGGAGTTGACTTGGTAGCGGAATATGAAGTCACTGACTACCAAACTAGGTACCGTCTGTCCGTCTCGCTTTCCAAGCTGGCGTCCAAG